ATATTCTGATGCAGGATTTAAATACACAAGGAAGTTTGCAAGATTCTCAAAACGCAAAATCCTCAAGAGAAGATGTAATTTCAGCAAAAAGCTCAAGCGAATTCATTCCAGATTAAAAATCCAAGGGTTCAATCATTTTCGCAGACGATGGTTAACAATGCCCAAATTTTCATCAGTTACAAGGTATACAAACTGAAGTAAAATGGTTGTCTTCAGTAAAATCAATATGTTTGATGGAAGATACGAGCTCATCTCATATCTCCCCACTAGTTACTTCGTTACTCCACAAGCAACATACCGATGGAAATTGTTTTCTTCCTATATCAAGTGCAATAATGAAAGTAATTATATCCAGAAGTCCAAACAATTCTGTAAACTTCAATATTGTAAGTCAGTTGAATTTAAGAGCAAGATCTTCCTATAAGACGTCAAGAAAATTTTTGAATAACCTTGATCTTTCTGTTTCCTTTTAAGTTTATATTGGCATCTAAGGCACTGGAATAATCCAGATAGTGCACAAAAATATGGTTTCAGAACCATTTCTGGTCATTATTACACATACATAACTACAAGCAATGTAAGATCAAATTGCACCAAAATAATTAAATAAACCAAACCCAAAATTTTCTATTATAAAAAAGAATATACTAATAAACCTAGGTTATTCAACTTACCCTTTATTCCCGTGAAGCAAGCTAAATATATCCAATGACTGGAGAGGAGAGCTTCACTTTTCACCCTCTCTATGAGATGTTTCAGTATTTCTCCCAGAAATTTCATAATATTTGATTTCAAGAACTTACATCCATGCATATGTTACCAATTCAATCCAAGTTTACTAAAGCACTTTTCAATGCACAGTGAGTTCCTTGTCTTGTGTGTTACATTAAGAATTGGAAAGATAGAAAACAGCTATTCACTACATAACAGAAAACAGTGATGCGCTTTTATAGCAAAAAAGACTTTAATGAGGCAAAATTGCGGAAAGACAATGAGATAAAGCAATCAATCAGGCAAGGTGATAACTTTTTTCCAGCCAAAGAGCCACCTCTTGCTCCCAGCTATAAACAGTAAAAGAAACAGGAAATCAGAAACAGAGAACAAGAACAAAATGTTCATTCTTATCTGATTCCTTACATTGATTCCAGTCAAGACTTTTAACTATGACTAGTATTTGACTAAACACTTCTACTAGAATCTGGTTATTATATTCAAATACAACACTCCTAAATCAGCATGACTGCGTCCAGTCAAAGATATCACATGAACCAACCTAGTTTGAGACAAGACTATAATTATTCAGTGAGCAGATTATATGCCAGTTGAGACCTGTATTTTACAACTAAATATGTCCCTTTAAAAGGAAGAAAGTTGCAGTTGCGTAGTAACTTCCATTTCCTGAATGAAGTACTAATGCTTCAAGGATATTGTATGCCTTCAATCTGGTTCAAGCCATTTAACACTAAAACATAGCACAAGCTCTTGCTTAGGAATGATATACTGAAGATATAGCAGCATAATGTCAGGAAAGAATGCTAGAAACTATTGCCTTAATGTAATAAATAAAATTTTCTATTCCCAAAATCTATGCCCCAAGTATAAAAACAAAGAAAAAGTCTAAAGCAATCTGAACATAGAAATAAACAAGGTTTTAACAACTCAATACACGTGAATGTTTTGTACCAGATCTTAGAACAGCAACAAAATTTCTCATTCCATTTCAAATTCAGGAAGCGAACGCATCAGCATTCCCTCTGATCCAATCTCAGCCAGCAATGATCCGCTAGACTCACCACGCCTCAAATTCCTAATACGATGCAACACTACGAACAACAGAAAGCTCGTAATCATCACCACTGTAACGTNCACCACGCCTCAAATTCCTATTACGATGCAACAATCCGAACAACAGAAAGCTCGTAATCATCACCACTGTAACGTGTCCAACAAACAAAAAATTCATCAATGCCACACCCCTCAATCTATCCTCCTCAAGCTCACACTGGACATTAGACTCCCCCTTGGTCGGGGCCACGCCAGGAATCTTAGCACACCCTTTCAAACCAAATGCATCTGTGTATAACGATAATCCCACTTGTAGAACCCAAGTCCCTTTCAAAACAAGACCAGAAGACAACAAAGAATCAGCAAAAAATGCCGATGGCCAAAACGACAAATACAGGCAACATGCAGCGCAAAAGAGAGCCACACCTCCCAATTTTCCATATACAACACCACCAAGCCCTACAATTCCATCCCCGTTCAAGTAAAATTCAATCACAAATGCAATGCCAGCAAATATGAACACAAAACTCTCGGAAACAACAGAAAGATCCAAACTTTCTTTCAAAATGATCAAAATCAAGAGTGCCCAGAAGACGAAAATGACAAGAGATTGTTGTAACAACGAAAATCTGTAAGCGGGTTGGCCTTGAAACACAAGAAAGAAGAAAATTTGGGAGAATGATGCAACAGGAAGGACTACAAGAAGAGTGTAGAAATCAAAGTTTTTCCACTTGGGCTCCGAGAAATACCACGATCTAGATCTGTAAATAGATGGGTTATTAAGATACAGATAAAAGGAGCCAAGCAGACGGCGAATTCCAAGTGGGAATAGAAAGAGGGAGGCTGTGAAATGGGTTGCCAGTGACGCCATTTTTCCTCACTGTTCTGGTTATGTTGTGCGTATACGCAGAATTTTTCTGGTTCCTCAATACGGTTTTTCTTTATTTTTGTATATAGTTATTGAAAATTTGCGTATGTATCGATTTTGGAATAGAATTTTGAAGCGTTCTATGGAAAAACTGAATCCATGGTTTGATCAGAACATGACTTTTTGTTTGTTTTGTTTTCCATCGGAACGGAAGGGTTGACTTGACAATATTGCAACTTCCCCCTTACATTTAAGGCTAATAATGAATGATCCCCAATAGTTTCTTTAGAAAACAATTAAACCTCTATCCTTTTACAACTAGGTTGTTCACGTCAAAGTTTGGTGCTATCCAATCCCGACATTTGGATCTACTAGTCACAACTAAACGTGCGTTACACGTTATTTTGAAATACTTTATAAATACTATAAAAATGATATTTGAAAATCAGTGAATATAAAAAATAGTTAAAAAAATTTGTTTATGTGAAATTAACTTTTTATACAATTCAATTATTTATTTATGTGTATGATAATAATTAACATTAATTTATATATATTCTACTATGATTTAATCAATTAATTCTTCAAATTTATGCATGTACACTTTATATATTTTGGAAGTTGTTCATAGGGGCGGACGTAGAAGTTTAAAGTTAAGGGGCACAATCGAATTTGCAAAGAAGTTGAAAGAAATTTTACAATCGAAAATTTACATCCAAAAAAATCATACCCATGTAATTTTGTATCCGAAAATTTACATGAGATATGATTTTTTCGGAAGTAAACTTTTGAAATTTTTTGATCTCATATTCCATATAAAATTTTCTAATAAAATGATGAAAAATACATTAAGAAATTTGTATCTCAAAAATAATAAATGTTAATGAAATAATTGATTTTTTTTTAAAAAAAATGCAAGTTAGACGTCTTTAAGACTCACGTTTAACTATTTTCGATTTTTGTTTGGACTATTCGATAT